TCTGAGAATGTTGTATTTTTACACGCAATTCGATGAATTTCATAGTGTAATTTATAGTAAACTTGGGACACAAGAGGTAAATATCGGACGAATAGACCAACATCCATTCGGACGATGCGAAGTGCGGAGCTCGCGACATATTTAATGATGTCCAAATTGTTAATTCAGCTAAATAAATCCGCTGCAATTGCCAGGGAAACTAGTTCCCGAAACGTGTAAAAGTTCGCCTTTTTACGGTTCTTGTATGCCGCCATTAAGCCATCTTAATATCCAAAAACGACAAGTTTTAACACAAATTTGAGCTGTTTCGAGCAGCCATGTTTCTTGTTTATTTTAAGGACTAGATCCCAGGCTCTCACGTAAAAACACAGGGATATTTTAGGATTTTTTAGGATATTTGCAATATTTTTAGTCTTGATAAAAATTTGCGGGGTTAAAGGTCAAAGTACCGGAAGTGATCAGCAAAAACTGCAAAATATAGTTTAAAATCACAGTTTTTGGTTGAATAATACTTGAACTGGAGATTCAAAGTAAAATGCGAAGTCGTATGACTTATATTAGGCAATGTTGGGCATATAAAACGGACTTAGCCGCTGACTACAAAAGCGGGAGCAAAATGTCCCATATTTCTGGTAATCGGATATTCCAGAGCCTTCGACAGTAAATAATAAATTGAAATGACGCGAAGGCTCTGGTTCAACGGGGCGATTCTTTGATTAAGCCGCGCCAATCACAAAACAGAATTAGTGGTTTTACTACAGATTCTGTACAAAACCACTAATTCTGTTTTGTTCTGTACTAAAACCACTAATTCTGTTTTGTGATTGGTGCGGCTTAATCAAAGAATCGCCCCGTTGAACATAGTCTTTCAAAACATGGTTTGGAAACTCCGCTGAAGTCTTTGTTCTATCTTTTTGTTCGCGTTTATGCAGTTTTGTGCACGGTGCACGGGCAATGAACACATTGTATGTCAGTATAATGAACGAATCATCCAATAGCAACGTTTCAGTTCAATCATTCAACCATGCTATTTAAATATTAATAAACCTAAAACAAAGGATGTGAACGGTGTAAGTACGACTCAACATAAACTTCCAGCTCATTATAGCCGCTTTGAAGTTTACTGAGTTTCCAGACCATGTCTCGAAAGACTATGTGTTGAACCAGAGCCTTCGCGACATTTCAATTTATTATTTACTGTCGAAGGCTCTGGAATCCAGGGTAATGTATGGATTGCTTGAGTTCTTAAATTATAAAAAATATAAAAAAATTTGAAAATAGTAAATTTTGCTATCCAGGGGGGTGGTCAACTTATGCTCTCCTAAAAGTGGCTTGCGCACGGAAATGACAAACGGTATTCTTTATTTGAGTTCATGTATGAAAAGTTCGCTATTTGTTGCATTTATGATAAAATTTCGGCAGGATTTTATCGAGTACAAATCCTCCGAAAAGCCTATGAAAACGTTACATTTTTCTCCGTTGGTGCTGTTCTTGCTTCATTATGAATTCATTTTTACTCCCATGAGAGTTCTGTGGAATTTCCATGGAATTTGTGCTTTCGAGTTGTTTGTGCTGAAACGCATTCTCTCGTATAATACCCCGTACACTTTGAAATGGCGATGCCACAATTTACCCCGCAGCAGAGAGCTTTTATGCATGGTATCAGAGTTCCTCCGTAGCAACAACATAAACTTGGTTCGAACGAATATCCATGCAGACGAACGAATATCCATCCACGAACGAATATCCATGCAGAC